ACAGAATAACTCAGCATGTTGGAGCAGACTCCTGGGGGACCCACACATCTTTGCTCCTGGCTGACCGTAACATTTCTGCACTGTCCAAATTCGGGTTTAAAGAGTTTCAAACTGTCAGGCATTCTCCTCCAATTGCCAACGTTGTCCTATGGATGTGTTTCAACAGCTGGTTATGAGCAGCATGTTAATGCTTCAGAGAGACAACAATTGTCAACCCAGCGTACATAAAACACCTGTTCTCAGCAGGAAGCCACAGGATGGAAGGTAACTCCTCCAGTAGGAACTCCTCTCTCACAATGCTTAAATCAGTGGAAGATTTATATAACAGTTCTTCTTCACTTCACCCTTTTGTGTACTTTAACCCCAAGAACAGAAGCAGGTGGGCACAATTCTATTTGCATTTGCATCTCTAAAGACCTTTTGAGAAGGCAAAAAACATGTAAATGCCTCACATATTTCACATCAACTCATTCAGAGGGCTGGAAGTAAGGCTCAGTCTTCAGCTATTCTCTTTACAGCTTTCCAGTTTAGCAATTCAACATATAAATATTCATAATGATGTGCCCTTTACCCTAAAAGAAAAAGGTTAATGGATATATCTGCAGAGTTTTTCCTTCCCTTTCTGAATCCTGGGCATCTTGGAATCCAATATGTGTATCTCCATCTTGCAGAGAATAATCCAAAACATAGCAGGGAGTAAATCCAATTTTTCAGGTTTACTACTAGGGTCAGAAGTCACTTGCAGAGGCTTCTTTTCATCAGCTAGGTTTCAGCGAATAATTTAACTAGCTTATTACTCCTCTGTGTTTTTAATTAAACATATAATGGCCTGGTAGCCTTCCAGCTGTTATTTGTGAACATACAGCTTTCTCTGTGCTCCTCAACAGCCCCAGAAGGCATGCACGGTGTCACCTGGGGGAAGTATCCAAAAATGAACTGGAGTCTCATGCCTATTTTACCTCCCCATCCAAAACTCACCTGCAAGGAATAAAAGTCTCACTATGAGCCTGACACATTTATCAGAATCTTCCTGAATATTTGTATCAACGCAGCTTTCTGCTACATAGCGAAGGGGCAGATTTTGGACTCGGTAAATCCATTTCACTATAGCAGTACAATCAGCTTACAGGTTTCCAGATATTTGGCATGGCATCAAGTTCCTAAAGGTCAGGTCTTAGACAGAGGTCATAAGCATATTTAAAAAAAAAATGTAGGGAAAAAGTTTTTAATGCTTCCTGCAATAAAATCTTTGAAACAATCATCTTATGACTCAGTCCTTTGTTCTTCAGAAAGAATGACATATGGGTACCTGAACATCCTTGACGTATTTCTCCAGATGCTGATTTTGGCCAGTGGTGGAGAAGAAGAACCATCAACATATGGCAAACTCAGCGATTAAACAGCTGAAAGGCAATGCTGACTCCATGTAATTTATGTTCTTGGGCTCTGGACCATGCAAGCCCAGAGCAGCTAAGGAGCAGGAAGACACAGCTTCAGATGTAACTGTATTAAATCGCTGTTGAAATGAGGAATTCATTGTGGGTGGCAGTTTAAATATCTTGATGGTCTTTTCTAAGTGTTTTGGTGGTCTAAAGAGTCAAAGATTGTGAGCAAAATAGCTCACAAAGCTCATCTAGGAAGAGCTGGCTAGCATAATTTGCTAATCAAGAAAACAATTTCCACCTTCTGCATCCCCAAGTAACATGTCTGTCCATCCTATATTATTTTTATTACCTCTAATTTAGGAAAGAAAACATAATCCTCAGATTTACCACTATATTCTGTCACCATGTTCTTCTAAGCCTTCTGATGTTTACATTTTTGTAATGGAGTTTTCTTCACACTTTTATGTAAATAATGATTGGTTTTGCATTCCTTTCTGGAGGAGGAGAAATTTGATGGTTTCCCCAGTGTCATTGGAGAGGTGGCAATTTCATCCTCCAATCCACTTGAAATCACCTTCAAAAGTCTATAAATATTGGAGTCAGGAAATAAACTTCCCTTCTTCCTACCTCAGAGTTCCAGCGTGCATGTCATTTCAGTTCATGTATATTGTGACAATATTCCACATAACTATACACACAGACTGCACAAACTATTAGATTCTCCAATTAGAATTTCTCTGCATTAAGATTTTGATTTTCCAAGCATGAAAACAAAGTCTTTATCGTCATTAAACTGATTGAACAAAATGTTAACAATGATGCAGTCATCATTGTCCTGTCCATCAAATGATGATACAAATTAACAGCAAATCTCTAATTGCTTTGAAATAGCCATTTAGAATAACAAAACAGTATATCTAAATTACTGACTTCAAGAAAAATTGTATTAATCTTATTTTATTATCTTCAGTTTAAAAGCTCCATTTTATTGGAAAATAAAAACCTGCTAAAACTTACTAGAGAAATGAAATTTCAAACCAGGCATTCCATGCCTTACGACCTTAGGACAATCATCTCCACTACCCCAAAAAACAGAATAGATACACACACCTTTTCGTTGCTTGGAATAACACCTATTTCCATTCTACTAAATCTGTGTACAACAAAAAAAAGACATTTCCCATAGAGATATGAAGTCTGGTATCCACAGCTAACAGCGCTTCTTTTTGTCACTTGTTGTTGACCTATATGTTCTGAAGGCTTGAACTTTTAATTTGGCCACTCTTGGTATGCTGCTAAGTTAAAAAAGGCAAGCCTTTAACTATAATATCTCCTATTTTGCACAAAGAAAAGAAATTGAGAAGAGTTCTTGGGTTTTCCATAGTCAAAAACTATACTGGTTAAGGAAAAATTGTACCCTTATACTTGTTCCCACTCATCTTGCTCCTGATGAAATAAAGATACTATTTATTATCCTCTTTGCAGTGTCTGTTTTCAAAGACATGGGGAAAATTGAAAAAGATTGACTAAAAAAATTTATGTCATCAAGAACAGAACCATGATAATTATCAGAAGCTTAGTAGGAGCAACAATTAATAGAAGGCTTGCCCTGTGACATGTGTCTGCACCCATTTCAGGTCCCATGCAAAGCTATAGAGGAGTGGAGCTGTTAGAGAAACATCAAAAATTATCCACCTGAACGTTCTGCTATTACATTGATCTCATGTAAGCATGGTGCCCTTCAGAAGTGCCCAAAATCTTTGTTCTCTACTTCTCATCCGTGTTAAAAAATATTTTCTCCCCTGTCATCCACTTTATTAACTTCTGTCATCACAGATGTGGGGGTCTGAAATCAGGATCCTTACCAAGGTCTGAGCAGCAACCTGACAAACAAACAGTGGCTTTAAGGGATACACAGCGAGTCCAAAAAAGAAGGATAGCCACAGTAATCCACCTGAAGTAACAGCAGTCAAGAGCAACACCAGACATGCCTGTTCTGACTCCTGCATGGAGTTACAGAGACTGAAACTTCCTGTTGCCACACAGAGCTACAAAGGTTCAACCGAGACTAGCAGGCAACCCTTCAATTCTATGTATTTTTAAGCAGATGTCATCATTTAAAATATTATAGATAACCTCAGTGCCAGAGAGGACAACAGCAGTGTATTTTGTTCAACCAAGATTACTCCTCCAGAGCACATCTCCCTACAAGCCTCTGCCTGTCAAGATAGAGGACTCAAGGAGCTACATTCAGTAGATGCCATATCTAAAAATCCATGTGCCTTGCGTTGTATAATCACCACTGCCTGTCTAGTTTGACCTTGGATTTTGCTAAGTGCAGGCATGTGACAGTATTTTTCTGTTCAATGGCTGTCCTCAATGTCCTCGTTCTCAAATAAATAATAAACAAACTCTTAACAAGGCAAACTGATCCTGTTAACCATGACTTCAAATGGTTTGAAAAAGCTTGGAGAAATTCAAAAGTAATGCAAAAGGAATGATAAAATAAGAGCAGGAAAGCAAGAAGAGATGGAGGGAGGGATCCCTCTCTAAAGTAAAACAATACTCTTCTAGACTGAGACAGTGGCCTGAAAAATGCAAAAAGGAATAAAGTAGAAGAAAGACCAATAAGAAAGTAGAGGTGACAGAAAAGTAAGGCAAAGTCCTGCCCTTAACTGGGGAGCCTCATCTGGACATCAGATCATTTTTTCATAGAAGCAGTGCAGAATAACTGGTATTAGATTTCAAATGGGAGCAACCAAACAATGTTCCATTACTTGTATTACAAGAGAAAAGAACAGCACTAGTCTTTTATGTGTCAAGAATAGACACAAAGGTCCTTCAAAACCTAAGAAATTACCAAAAAAGCATTCACAAAGTTACAAATAGGACCCTGTTTCATACAACACACACTTTGAAACATCAAAACGTCATTGGAATTGTCTTATGAACCATAATACCAAGTACACCTCTTTTTTGTAACAAACTGATGTCTACCACTAAAACAGATAATCAAAGGGGCCTCTTTTTCCTCCTACACTGACAAACAGAAACAGAAAAAAAAGGGCAGGGGGAAGAGACATACATGAAATAGGAATATAATGTATTTATGTTGAGAACAAAAGATACACAGCATTACATGGAAGCACAAGTAACTTAACTGCTTAATAGCTTAGTTACTGAATCTCAAAAAAAATTGTATTCTTTTATAATGTTATAAAACATAGTGAAGCAAGAAAAGCGCAAATTTAACTTTTATGAAAAAGCAAACTCCAAAGCACATGTAATAAACTAGTCAGGAAAATTGCATTACAAGGTTTGTAACTTCCAAAGTGCATTGCATCTATACCATATTGGCTTTGATCTTTCTGTTTAAGTTATTTTAGATCAGGATACATAAATAATTAATTCCTCCTAAAACTTCCCCCAAAAAAAAAAAAAAAAAAAAAAAAAAAGGAACAAGAAAAAAGTAGCAAATTGCAAACTGTGAAGAAAGGCTCTAACTTGCATGTTAGATGTTACATCTACCATTTCAACACATTGTCCAACCAGACCACTGAGCACTCAGTATCTTTTATGTTGCTGCTACAAGAGAGAGAAACAAATTGCTCTTACCTGTGTTCCAACTCTCGGATGGACAATATAACTCCAGAAGTCGATGTCTTTTGCTGCAGAGTGGCCAGAAACGTGAACTCACTTCTATTCCGGAAGAGCTGAATTAACTTCTCATTTATGTGGGGTGCTGCGTAGATTTCTCTTTCTGTATCTAAGAATTTTATTTTTTAAAGGAAAAAGAAAAAAGGGAAATAACAGTCTAGTAAAAATGCTAAGTCAGAAAGACTCAGATTACATTTTTCATTTTCACATCAATATTTTTCATTTTTGAGAGTCATCTGCCATGGTCCACCACTGCATTTTTTCAATGGAAAAACCTAAATGCCATCTCTGTCAGCAGTCACTTTGACAATTTCACAACTGGTCAGCTACTGATTTTCTGATGGATTTTTTGATGGGATGCTGAGCCATTTGTGTCTGCTGTGAGCAGATTAAGTTGCTGTAAATAAGGTGTGCTGCAGTCAGATAAATAGGCCCCTAAATTCTGAGAGATCTCGGGCACTGCCGCTCCCAACACAATTCACCAAGCTCCAATTTCAGTTTTCACCACTGACTCTGTTGCCACCTCTCCCTCGTACATCACAGGAAACCTGTCCTTGCACAATGTAAGGCAGAGATGTATTATTGCTAATAATGCTATACGGCTGTGCTCCTGCCTGAGAAATAAATACAAGACATGCTTGCAATCCACGGCTGTTTCAGGAATTTCTCAGTTTAAACAAGCAAAGTATGACAGCTCATACAATATTTATTAAACTACAGCCTGACCAGGCAGATGCGGAAACATTCCAGCCTCGCTAATCCTGACAATGTCCAAGCAGCATCATACCTTCTCAGATTCAAATGCATCATCTCCCACCACATTCATTTTTAACTCAACATTTCATTCACTATACATCATTACAAAAGAAAATTAACACCAAAGCAGAGAAATCATGGCATTTCACCTTCACGCCCATTGCCAAGTCTCTCATGCTGGGCCTTTGTCACACTTTTTCAAGACCTGAGCCACTTGCAGTTCCCTGGATGTCATAACCAATTAGATACCCAGTGTGCTTGCTTTCCAAAGGTTTTACTGTGAAGCCAAAAACGCTGGCACAAATTCTCAGCTGGTAGAAAACCACAGAAACTCCACTGAATGCTGAGAATCCAGCCCAGCATGCATGGTGTAACACACAAAGGAGTGATGAAAATTACAATTCAGAATTTCACTGTAGAAAGAAAAAAAAATCCCCAACACTAAGAAAAGGCCCCATTGTGTCATTAAATGAGGCTTTGCAGACAGAGAGGAGAGAGACTGGCTTGGAAAACAACCTAAAACCTCAAACGCACAACTACTGAGGGAATGCCGTGGACTGAAACCAAACTCCAAGCAAAAAGTATTCAAGCATGTTTGGTAATTGGGTGTCTCCATTTGTTCTGTGCAGCTTAAAGCCCTCTAAAGGAGCTTACACATCCAGACTTGTAACATGCTTGCACTCCGAAAGGCTCACCAGTGAAAAGTACTACAGTTAGACATCCAAAATCACCGGTCATCATTTAAAAATCTTTGCCAGGGGTTCAAATTTCCCTGATAAATAAATATAGTGCCCACTCTACAGCAACAAACTATTTGTCTGTCCAGTGCCACTTTTACAAGAGCAGAGGATAAAGCTTCCAAGAGCAGAAACCATCTCCACTGCCATTGTACAGTGGAATAGAAGAAAAAACAACCAGCACAGAAGACCAGATTTTGTCTTTATCTATTAGCTCTTTGTATCTGTATCATTATCTTCACCTAGCAGGTGTTAGTACTGGTCATAAATATCATGTAGTTTCTTTTTAAAAAGCTGATACAAGAGACACAAAACTATGTCTCCCACAGACTCATAAATTCACCAATATCCAGCTTGCTATCTACAGAAACAGACAACCCACTGGTAGCATGTTCCAAGGCACAAGTAAGACTCAGAGGTAAAATGTCCAAGACCTGACAGATTAAGACTATTATCATTTTTTGAAGGTTAAAAACCTTCGTATCTTACTTTTTTTTTTTCTTAAAGGTGTCACAGTTACCAGAAATAAAATATGACTTAACAAAGCTTTCAAAAATTCTTTCACATGGAAGCACAGGCAGTGCTGTCAGTGGAACATATATGTTTAAACTTCAGCCAAGCCTTGCAAAGTACAACAGTTTCTCATTATAGGAAGGCCCACATCCCACCACCTATCCATCAATTTTTATACAACAATATAGAACTCCTTGCTCAGAATCATCCATGGTTCATCAGTGGACTTTTTCAGTTAGAAACATACTTTGAAATATTTTGCTATTCTCTACCACCTCTTCATAGATACGGGTATACTAAAACCACATGAAACACTGATATTCATTCTCTGTTGATTAAAATCGGTAAGATCCAAAGGTCTGAAATTCCAGAGTGTTGGGTCGAAACTACTGGGTAACAAATAGTATTTAGCGACTGCTTGCAACACTGTGCCAGTGTCATTGGCACAAAGGAAGTTATATAACCAGGCTTTTAGAAAATTAACACACTTCTAAGTACAGTGCTATGTATTTGGGAAACAAGTCCAGCTATTACCAGCACCCTGGGACATCCCTACTGCAAGCCAGGTGAAAAATTTACTTGCTGATACAAAAATATCTCTAGAAATGCTGCTTTCCACAGCGTAATCCCAGTACCTAAAAGGGGACTTTCCCACTAGTTCCACGGTGAGCTGGTAAATGCAACTGGACTCAAGCTGGGAAGGCCAGCAAGGCTGGTGGGGATCCAGAGGGCACACGTGGAGCTGGGACTGCCCCAGCGCCGAGCACAACCTGGGCTTGCAACTGGAACCCCAGTGCTGGGAAGGAGGGGTTTTGAGGCCAACACTGCACGGCCCAGCTCCTGTCCCCATGGCACAGCCCCACAGCAGCAGCTGCCCTCACACACAGCATCCCCGGGAACACCGGGTTCGTGTTTTGCTTGATTTCTGCAGAAAATACCATACAAATGAGCTGGGAGTACAATCCATTTAGAATAAGAGCCTTCTATTTTCAGGTAGATTTTCACACTTCAAAATAAAAAAAAAAATAGAAAAAAAAAAAAGAGAATACATATACCCCTTCACCACAGGTGCCTGAGAGGCAAAATACTTTTTATGCTCTCTATAAAAATAACTGTCTGCTTGCAATGAAATGTCATATTTCCTACATAATACAGAACAATATAGGTTTATACAGCAATCTTCAGTGAAACATCGCTTCATGCTTGAATGATAATGCAATCTCAGCAAAATAAATAAACACAGATACGACTTTCAGATGCCCTTCTATGTGATTATATTTTCTTAATTTGAAATAGTGACTGTCTGAAGGGTTTTTTAAAACATACCAGAGTATTTCTAAAATTAATCAACAAAAGAAAGCAAGCATACTCAGTTATTTGCAAGTCCAAGAGACAGAAATCATCTCAGAGCATCAAGTAAAGGCAACTTTCTACCTTCAGCAGAACAAAAGCACAAGACACACCTATGTCAGAGAGAGCACATGAGTCGCTTGATTTTAGTTCTTAAGCTGTGGGTCCACGGAAGAAGTGCCAAACACAAACCAAAGGTCCAGTTTGCTAGAACAGACAACAATAATCATTCAGGTACCACCATCCCCCCTCCCTGGCACCATCTCCCCCCCTGCCAGGGATGCCACCTTGCCTTGTCCTGGATGCCTTGTCCACTGTGAGCCCATTGAGCTCCCAGCCAGCACAGCCCTGCCAAGCCAAAAAGAGCTACAAGAGGAAGCAGCACCCAGGGCTGCCCTGGCACAGGGGCTCAGCACCCACAGCACCCTGACCAGCTGCAGCAAGCTCCTACACCCTGAGCCACACACAGGGATTTTACCCACAACCGGAATTACTCACAACATCAGCACCTTCACCAGCACCTTAAAAAAAAGTCTCAAATTGAGGTGTGTTTTCACTTCCCCATAAAACCAAATGAATGACGATGCTGCTCTGGGGCAAACGGTGTTGGGCCAAGCTTTACCTCACAAAAACCATTCAGACATTTCAGTGCACACTAACCCTAAACTCCAAATGGAATTAGGTACAATAACTCAGGATCAGCATCAGTCCTTACCCCACCTGATTTAGACCCTCAAGTCACATCTTTGTGTGTGGATTCAATGCTCTATGCATCACCTGCTCTAGCAACTAAAAATTAAAACCTCAGGCTTCTGCCATTTGTAACCCTGAACACATTAGAAGTCCCAGTTAGGAGAAATTCAGCAGTTGGCATCAGCTCCACTAATAACAGTGTAATAATAGCACCACCACACAGAAGCAGACAAAATGAGTTAGAGAAGGAAAAGGACAATGAAAGAAAAAGGAAAGGAAAGAAAGCAAAGGTCTTGCCAAGCCTCCTTTGACAGTGACAACAACCCACAGTACAAAGGGAAATACATGACCATTTGGGATGGAATTTTAAGTGATGAGAAATGTGCACCAGTTGTTAAAATTCATATGCCAATCCATCTGGGGAATAATTTTTCTTTAATAGATGCTTCCATTAGAAGAAAAATACTAAAATTCAGTTCTGAATCAACTCATTTTCTAAAGCAAGAGGTACATTTTATCATTCACTAGCCTGCTTGAATACCTTTTACTTCCCTTGGCAGAAAACATACTGCAGAACACATTGCTTTATTGGTAACTTCAATCATTTTAAAGCTATTTGCTTCAACATGGTTTCAGTAGAACCATTGAACAGTCACCCTGGACAAGCAAGTAGAAATTAATCCTGCAACAGCAGAGAACCCAGATTTAAGCTATAGCAATTAAATAATTGAATATTGCAGTTTTTTGGCTTTTATCTTGCTATAGGTGAAATACAATAAAACTGAAAACTGTATTTAAAAAACAAAACAAACAGAAAATCACCCCGATGCCCCACTTTTTCTTAAGTCACCAGCTTTACAAAAATGAAACCAAGATTAGAAGGATGATCCAAGACTAGCAACTCTCAGTGTAGGCAGTTCCTAACAGTTGCTGAGGGTGAAAACACACAACAGCATCACAAAAACATTCTTGTTCACTGAAGCAGGTGCTTCACCAAAGCCTCTGAGTCGAGTGGGATCCAGTGCACCAACCTCCCTTCCTGCACACAAACCATCTTTTG